TGCTGAAATAATAAGTAGTGTGCTGGCAATTTTTAGTTTCAGGAAAACACTGGTCTACACTTCAAGTTTTTAGGATCTAGATAAGCCAGAAAGTTCACTGATATTGTTAGCAAAATTGATACTTCAGGCTGCTGTAAATCCCTTAGCTTTCATGAAAGCCCATAAAGATCACAAACACTATTATATTGTTTCTGAAATCTTTATAATACAACTCCTGATAATAATGAAGCTGCAAGGGAAATGGCAAATCTTACCCTAGTGACACTAAAAATCACACCAACAATTATGTGATGTGACAAGAAGTTTCTGTAGTAGTATCTGTCTTTCCTCCACATAAAGTATGAGACAACCTACCTTTTAAGTTACTTAGGCCAAAAAACAAAAGTATTATTTGTCACTCATTGGAAGCATTGCAGGTGATTCTAAGCTACTGATTACAGGGAGATGTATTTCAATAGCTTCTTGGAGCTTATTCCAGCATAAGGACAGGGAGAGGGGTGGGAAGGAAGTGAAAAAAGCAAATACTTTAAAAGCACTTCCCAGATACTTAGGGCAGAAGAGTCAGCTCTAACCACCGTGGCACCATTTTTCCATCCCCAAGCAAAAACACCTCTGAAAAATGTACAGAATTTAGAGACAGAAGACATTCACTTCTCAAGTAAATGCAATTTCAACTTCCTCTAACCTCAACTTCACCTGCTTGATTTTGATATCAATCAACATCACTTGAGCAGATAAAACAAGATGTTGAGTCTCAAGTTTATCTAAATTCACTGAAATCTATGGTCCCTCTAACCAAGTACTTAATATCCTGCTGTTCTTCACAACAAATTCTTTAAACTGTTAGAAACTGTTCACTTTAGGAATATATTTAATTACAAAATTCTAGTGAATTTAAATTTTTTTTCTTGAAATACACAAAGCAAGTGCCAGTTAACCTGTCCCAATGTTTTCACATTCATTTCACTCCACACTCAAAAGCAATCACTCTTCCATGATCACCGCAGCCATACAGCTCCCTGGACACAATCATTATTTCAGCATCTGGCATCTTCCATAGATGCTATCAGGGCAGGGAAGACCTGAGCCCTCCTCAAGCATCCTGCTACCTTTGTATGGCTCCACAGAGGAGAAGTTACAGTCCACAGCCAGTGGCTAGCTGGTAATGCCCCTCCTCCCCTGAGAGAAATCCACCAGATAAGTGAGGCCAAATTGCTTTGAATTTAATGAAATCAAGGCTAAAGGGACCATCTGTGCACTTCAGCTCCTTGAGAAAACAAGATGCATGTGATCCCATAGATGAACGCATGCAAGCACATCTCAAACAACCCTCAAGTCACCAAACTAAGTCAACAAGATAAATGCCGTATTTTGAAAAATTTCAAGAAATGGATTACTTTCAGGGTGTGCTTGGCCACCTATCAGCATCCCATGGAGGCAGAGCCTCAAACATGAGCTCACACCACAGAAAATCAGGGAACACATGTGGGTTTTCTAGCTGAAACCAGGACAAAAAGACTTCATGGAAGCTCCAGGTGGAACTTACACCTCCCTCAAAGAGTTCAGCCATAGGGCAAACATCAGGGGTCAAGGTGCCATCAGCTCCATGGTTGCTAAACCTCCAAGTGACATTACACATACTCCAAACTCACCAGTCAGAGCTTCTCCAAGGCTTCCTCTTCTGAGCTGTCTCCCATCTTCACTCAGCTGCCTCTTAAATTTAGAAGGCTTTCCAGGGCCAGAAGAGACTTCAGGACTGCTGGATTTTCGAAAAGGCATAGGTGGGGGAGACAATATGTGATCAAGCTGCAAAGAAACAAGAGGAAAAAAAAGTATATATACTGTTCAAATGCTTACGTCCATTAAAAAAAATCTAGGCTGCCTTTACCTAAGGATTATGACAGCATTTGGAAAAAAGCCTTTACAAAAATCTTACAGTAACTAAATTGCTAACTGAAACCAAAAATTTTGCAAGTGCCAGATTTGTGGCTGGCTGTGTAAGAAAGCCATGCTCCTCTTGTACGGTTCACACCACCTCTGACCACACTACCACACAAGGAGCATTTTTTGCAAGTGGTCCAGTCTCAAGGTACAAGGAATCAGACTTCAGCTTACTCGACCTTCCGTAAAGCAGTCTTTTAGCAGCTGTGAACCCTGTGACCTCGCAAGCTATGCGATCTGCTCTTGACAACATTTTTCCTTGGCAATTTCTCCCCAGCTTCATGTGAGCAGTCACTAGATGGCACTGTACTATCAACAAAATGCAAACCACTGCCCAGTCTAGGGAAACACTGACAAAAGATTTATCAACACCAGCACCAAAAAAAAAAAAAAAAAGAGCCTGCTTATGAAACAGGCATTTTACATTCATTTACACTGACTTTGAAATAACAGTAAATACAGATCCTCATTCTTCAAATTGTGTTCTTGTCATCATTCCTACACATTTTAGCCCTCTGGTTTTAAGAATCCATTTAATACCTTGATATTTAATTAAATTCACAAAAACAAAACAAAAAGCAAGTGAGTAAATACAGGTAAAGGAAGAAAGAGCAGAGACACGAGTAAGTAAAATAGAGTTTTACAAGTGTCCTTCTCCTTAAACTGGTGCAGTCACATGATGTCACTATTTTGCAAACCACTCAAATCTTTTTCTGTAAGATTAAAACCCTGATTCTTACCACAATTTTTAGGAAGCCATGCACATCAAAGTCTTTTAGATTTTTTTACAGTTCATGTACTGAGACTTATCAGCCAATCTACGCATCACCTGCATACCCAACTGCTTCATCCTCTCTATCCACTGAAAGCAAGGAGTCAAGGTCACCATAGTCACCAAGGAAGATGCACAGTGAAACCCATTTTTGCTTACAGGCAATCCTACAGCAAAGTACTGTATGCCCTACAAAACATTTTGAATCTGATGTTTAGAGTTTCTTATGTATTTAATATTTCAAGTTAGTTAGTGGTTTGGGTTTTGTTCTGGTTTTTTTTAACCAAATCTGCAGCTTATTGGAAGTGTTTGCAGATATACACTTCTAAAGCATTAAGAAACACAGTGGTTTCTGAATTTGCTCCTTCAGCATATTAAGACTCATTCACGTTCATGACAGACACTGAACTAACCAATGAACTCACAATCCATACCTTCAGCAATTTCCTAAACTGGGAGGTTTTGAGGTCACAAAGAATAGAAATTAACCATTATTACAATTTTTCTTTTACAAACACAGGTATATCACAAGTATTTCTATTTTCAAGTGCTAAGACACAAGATGAATTTACAAATCAGAAAATACAACAGCTGGCTTCTAAGAAACATTATTTTAAGACTCTCTCACATAAGTCTATAATACTCAAACTACTCGCTGACTCATGGACTGCAATGATCACTCAGTGCTGCACTCCCAATGAATCCAAGCATCCGACAATGACATGATCCAATCAAGGCTTCAGGTGAGTTATAGGTAAAAATTCATGCACTTTCTTAAAACAGGTTTGCACTTCAAAGTCACCAATCACATTTTAAATCTTTTTTTCCTGGCATGATGTTCATCAAAACTTCAAACAACAACAACAACAATCAACAAATGCACTAAGCTCCCTGCATGTTAGCACTTAAGTCTAAAATATCACAGCAATATTATGTTTCACTAAGTGTTTCTTGGGGTAGAAGTTCATTTTAATATAGCAACAGTCAAACTGTAGTAGACAACACTTACACAAATTTGTCAGCTGGGTTTCAGCTGGATGTATAGAACCATCTCGCATCACCTGAAGCAACTATACCAAAAGACATTATATGATCTAGCACTACAAAGAAACAATATGGAAATATGTGATTTAACATTTTCACATTGATGGCCAACTGCTTAACGTAAACAATTACGCATATATCAACAAAGCATTTCTGGAAGCTATCTGAAGGCTCACTTTTGCTTCCAAAGGACAAAATAAGATCTATAGTACATACAGTGTGTATTTGAAAGGAGTCTGTACTTCTAACTGCTGTTGAAGTAGACCGAGAAGAGTAGACAAGGATACACAGCCTTTAACAGCCTTGACACAACAACTCTGAATGCTGGGGAAATGTGAAGAAAATGGACTGCAGAAAGTAGCCAGGCTTGCAAGCTCTCCCTGAATAACTTCTTGTGCTATTCTCAAGGAACAGACAGTTAGATGAAGCGATTTGACCCAGAGGGGCTTTCTAGCCCCCATTCAGACCTTACTTCCACCAAAAGCCTATGCAGCTGATGAAGAAGCCTTCTGTGCTGAACAAAACAGCCTTCCTCTCCTGCCAGGAGAAGTCCAAGTAAGTGAAACCAACAGAGAACATTTTACTAGGTACTGCTTCCTTAGAACAAACGGCTGATTCTGAAGAAGTATAACATGGCGCATATTCAAATCACAAAGTGGTTAATTCAGCCAAAACAACACTACAGTCATTCAGTAATAATATTATGACAAGTTGAAATAAGTAATAGCAAGATCTATTAAAAATTGTTCATACCTATTTGAAAGACCTTCTGGAAACCCATACACTATGAAAGTTCAGGTTGTGTGTCTTACCAGATTGGACACTGCTGTCCACAAGACAACATCAAAGCAAGTATCTTGAGGAATGAGGGTTGTTGATATGCTACCAGAGATATTTTAAATAATTTTACTCAAGCTGCTTCTACTGAGCATATCGAATAGTTTTGCTCTGCCACAATCATCACTATACTGGTATTTACTTCATGCTTACTAGCTATATGGACATGTCAATGTTGGATGGCATACAAGCCCAACAGGAAAACCAGGGTTTGGTTGGTTGCTCCTTTTTCTCGGTGACACTTGCTTGACAGCAAGCTGCAAGGAATACAATAGCTGTATCCCTGCAAGCAGTTTCCACCAAACAGACATTCATGTTATACTTTGAGGTTTTGGTTATCACTATTCTGCCCACTCTCTTATCACTGCACTCAGGCTGCAAGCATACACTTCTGTCCACACCCTTTTTAAAGAAATGTTAGTGACTTAAGGGGCAATGTGATAACAGAGGGCAGTTTTTCCACTTGTCTATGGAATTGCTAGGCAGCAGAATAAAACAATCTGAGAAGTTACTTCAGGAAGTCACTACTTCAAAGACCCAAAACAGCTAAGACAAAGTATTTGAAAACAAATATATTTGATTGTCCTGTATCCTCAGTACAAGAGTTAAAGTTAGCCATTGAGTGTATACAGGCTGCTTAGAGAGGGATTTTTAATCAGTACACATTTCACCACCAGTCCCTGCTGTTAAGATTCACAACACATGGATAGTTAACTTATGTAAAAACGCTATTTCCCTCCCACATTAAATACTGAATAATTCCTTTCCGACAAAGGCACTTTGAAAGACAGAGAACACACAGCAAACTCCAAGCTATGCAGAGCACACTGTTCTAGTAAATTCATTCCTTACAATCCATTTTTCCATAAATTTAATTAAAAAAAATCTGCCTGCTTATGTTGTAGGTATGATGAATTTCTACAGAAGCACTATAAAATTTAGGAGGTAACAGTTTTCACAAAACCCTATTCCCCTCCCTCCCTCTCACGAACCTTACCAAAAGGAACAGACAGTATCATTAGAGGAGAACGGCTTAAAAATTACACAGAACAGAATCATCACAGTATTCTTACCATAGACTTCTACACATAGATTTAAAGATCCTATAAAAACATGGACGGAATTTGAGTGACAGTCTCCTCCAGTTATACAGGTATTTCCTCCAGGGAATCAGGACTGAATCAATTTGTCCTCAAACCATTTTTTTATTGGGTTTTTTTCATATTTTGAAGCTATTCATTTTCTGTGTGAATAGAATCAGCTACATTCTGCTAAAGAAAATTATTGTCACACTGTACTAGCCATTGACTTTTAACAGCTCACCTACTCAGAAAGGGTTACCTTCATGTTTTTAAAAACCATCAGTAGCATTAAAACCAGCCATCTACGGTTGTGTATTTATTCTACAGCTAGAATGAATTCTCTGCTTGATAATTATATCATCAAGTAGTCAGATCAAGTACATCAGCCCACATGTCCTTAAGAAAATTAAGGACAACTGGTTCAAAACAGCATCAGTGTTTAGAAGTACAATTTGAGCTGAGTATGTAACAAGGTGTGAGGCAGCCAGAAAGAAAATAATAGCTTTCAGGAGAGGAAATCCATGGTACAAGAAGGTGAATGAAGCTAAGATAACACTATCACACTGATAACACCAGGATAAGGAAAACACGCTATTCTGAGCTGCTGAGATTTGTTGCAACATGAGGTAGTTTTTTTCCCCAAGAAAAATTAAATTGAAATGAGAACTGATCTGCTCAGCTCCATCTTTTCTTGAAACACCCACTATGGTTTTATTGAACAAAATACTTCATTCCCAGCCTTCCCTAATCACTCCATAGGCAATATTCCTACTTCCCACAGAAAATGGGAAATACAGGTCAAGTACTCAGTCTTAAATATATGAACAAAGATGTTCTATTAAGCATTTTAATTTCCTCCTCTTGAACACTGCAGCACTCCACTCTATCTCAGGTCATGTCGTATATGTACATTAAATCCTAAAGTTCCCATAAAAAGGCTGTGCACTGTCGCCCATTTTAAGGCACCAATCCAAGAGATATATCACCTGAAAACTCTCACATATAGTGCACCAAAAGCAGAAGATATCCAGCACGTTTAGGTTTTTTTCATTATCAACTGAAAGTCCCAACATAGCATTCTACTAATAAGTACGTTGTCATCAAACATGCCAAATCACATCATACCTATC